GTGCATAACGAGTAATGAATGGAACTATCTGATCAGCACTGTACTGGTTTCCTCTCCTCTCTTGTTTTTATCCATCTCTCACCTGTTGAAGTTGCCCGGTGTGACTCAATATGTCTGATTCATGTTTTAAGTGTCGCTTGATGCCGTCTTACCGTCCACCTGCAGCTTCCATTGATACTCAGGTTATAGATTATTAACATTCACGTTCTTCTTTTTCCAGATTTGCTGCTTGAAAGGACAGAAAGGCTTGGTCAGTAAGTCCACCTTCGATGGGATCCACATCGTTAATCACTATATGGGTGTCAGTGAGTCTTACCAGTCCTCTGATGACGACGGAGCAAAGAACACCAACCTACAGAACCAGAACCTCCTGCAGAGGAGCGGAGGTCGTATTAAGCTGCACCCCAAGCTGGAGGACACGGACAGCGAGGAAGAGGAGGATGGGGAATCGCTGCGGCTCTCTGTGCCTCAGAGCAAGTCCACCACGGTGTGAGGGGGGGGGCAGAGCGTGCTTCTCACAGCCATTTCAGACATTTGGTTTTCCAAAAAAAGCAAACCCATCATTTCATATCTTTTAAATCAAACTTGGAGCTTTATTTGGCGGGAGTTGTGTTTTGTTTCGTTGGCCCCACTGACACAGCCGAGGTCAAACCAGGACCTCCGCAGAGAATCGAACGGCGTGGATCGTACCAAACTCTACAAGGACACGGGGGGGCCGGGGGCTCATCTGGGTACAACACAGAAAGAGAGACTGTGCAATAAACATTTTATCCTGTATTCCACACTTCATCCAACATTGTTTTATATTTTTTAAAGGATTTTATAAACTACTAACAAGACTACATCGATGCTGTCGCTACCGTTACTTCCATCATGCAGGGGCAGAACCGTACGAATGCGTGTGTGTGTGTGTGAGCGTGTGTGTGAGAGCGTAAATGTATCAGACGATGTTTGTCGGAGCCTGGTATCAAAGCTGCTTCTGTCCGACCGATTAACGTCTCTGCGTCGCACCCTGCACGGATTGGTCAGTGTGACATCCGCAAACATGTAGATATGTAAATGTGTTTATTTTCTCCTTATTTTTTTGAACTTGAAAACATGTTTAATATTGCATATCGGATGTTTAGATATGTTGTATAAATAAAGAAGGGACATAAGTTATATATGATAAAGGAGATGGATTATTGTGTGTGTGGGGGGGTGCATCATAAAAACCTTTCAGCTTGTTACGTTCTGAGAAGGAAACATGGAAATAAAAACTAAACAAGTGCAGGCAGGGTCATCAGCATGGTTGGCTGCATTTGGTGCATCTGCAGATGAGTCAAACATGAGTCAAATCTGTTGTTTGATTTATTTGGTTTGCATGATAGAGGAGATGAAGTCAAATCTGCAGGAGATGAGCACCAAGGGAACAGCTGGATGTTTGCAATGAACACTAACTTTCTGCAGAAACAGGCAACACTATGAAGCACTCGCTCACTCTGGACGGACTACATGAGATTGTTGCACTTGTAAGAGAAGTGATGAGGTTCATAATAAAATGTTTGATAACTTCTCTCTGATGTGTGTTTTAATGTCTGCAGCAGATTTATTGAAAAAAAAAAAGCCTACAGCTGACTGATCACACATGCACTTTTTTTTTTCATCTCAAAGCGTCTTTTCCTCTCAAGATTCTCGCTAAGATTGTCTGCTTTCAGGAAGTGATTTGTCGCGGTTTCCAGAGCTGCAGCCCCGCTTCTAATTTTTTCATGCACAAAACCACATTTTAAGAGCAGCTCTCCTCTGGCACCGAGAAATAACCCAGCTCTGTATCTTATTAAAACCTAATGAAGGTCATTTTTTTTTTCCTCTCTGGCTGAAAATGTAGCCCAGAATCCTCTGAACGCAACTTAAGATTAAATCCAATATCAAAATATCCACTTTAATTTACATCTTTAATCATTTTTAAATGAGTTGAGGCTTTAATTTAAATGTGAAAAATTAAATTAGATGGAGGCAGTTTTTTTCCAAGAGCCTGCCTTCAAATCACAGACTGACAGACCTCTGGAAGACATGAATCATTTGGGTGTTTTTCACATTTAAGAAGCGATTGAAAGCTGAATTTAACTGAAGCGGGGAAAAGGAATGTGAAATTAGAAATAAATCACCATGAGATCAATGATTAAGGGGAAAAAATGATCTAAACAAATTGAGAGCATTTATAGATTTATAGTCTGTGTATTTCCTGCTTGGGATGACTGCATTTCCTGAGCCATTCTGCCCTCTCAAGCGGCACCATAAATATTTGCTTTTTGTCTTATAAATTAATTTAGAACAAAAAGAAATGACAAAAAAAAGGTTAGGAGAAAATAAAATAGTTGAGGCCCTCTGTGGAACCTGTGCTCATCCAAAGCTTTAACCTGCAAACTGGATTTTTGATCTAAAATTGAAGGATTTACAAACTGCAGTCAAAGGAAGCTGTTAATATGAGCCAATATGGCTCTCCACCCAGAGGGACAATCTATCAGAGGGTGGCACAACATTTGATCGTGTCCGCATCAATATTTTTCAATTGAAGGTATTAATAGATAAATTTCCTGATTGATTTCTTTTCTTTTGGATTTTTGCTAATAGAAATATTATATTTCATGTGTCACAGGCGCAATCTGGACTGTTTTTAGTATAAATGCAACAAAAAAAATATTAATGATAAAAATAATGCATCCTTTAGTTGCATCTAAGCATATTTAATTACACTAACACAAGTTTTAGGTTTCCTTCTCTGCTAACACGAAAAAAATGGTGTTAAAGTTATTGAATATGCTTAAATAGATACACAAAAAGATGCATTTTCTTCAAATTAAGATGATGTGTAATTTAAAATCTCTATTGCAATTGCAAAAACAACAAATTTGCAAAAAGATTTTTATTTTTTGTTTATTTTACAAAGCCTGGATTAAATGCAGCTCAAACCTGATTGTTTATAAACCTGTTTTTGTTGTCGCTTGTTTTCTTTTTAGGAAATTTAAATCTATTTGAGAATATCTGAATAATCTGGTGCAGAATGGGGCCCCTCTCTCTCTCGCCCCCCCAGAGTTGCACAAGCCTGTGCCGTCCTCCTATCGGGGCCCTGCTGCGGCCGCTGCTGCTGCTTTTATCGCTTCATTTCTTCATGACACGATGTCCGGGCAGCTCTAATCGTTGCAGATTGATTTCCTCTCCCTCATTTTTGCAGATAAAGGCCCAACTGTAGCTCTGGAGGATCAGATTGACCGGAATGATCCGGTTAATCTGATATATTTCGTTATTAGTAAAAAAAAAAAAATGACATTAAGCAGATAGATTGTTTAAAGTGTGTTTATTCCCTCCGATCTGCCTAAAAATCAGAATCCGTCCACTTTCTGATTTTTTAATATGCGTCATGACGCATGGAGCAGAGGCGCATGACGCTCAGAGCGCACAGAACCAACCATCCACGCAGCATACCCAAAGTTTCTTGCAGACACTGCGAAATAATAGTTAGAACATAGACAGGTAGTCTGGTGAGATTTATTTATTTTCCCCCACCTCTCTAGTTTACCGCTACGTTTTAATGTAATTTCGGTGCGCCCTTTGGGCGCGCCTCCGCGTTTCCTCTTCCCCTTCCCCCGTCCTCCTCCTCCCTCTCGCTGATTGAGTAAGTGAGAGGTTGATAAAGCGTTTATCGCTCCTCTTCACTGATGGGCCGCTCTACAGGGGATCCGCAGCTCGTTGAAATGAAAAAAGGTGAATTTTAACTTTTAAATCCAGTTTTATTCCGGCTGCAGATTATTGTCGCCAAAGCAGGGCAGAGGTGAAACAGCGCATCATGTTGCAGAGGGGAGCCCTGAGATGAGTGGGTGAGAAAGAAAAAAAGAAAAAAGAGTCGTGACCAGAAGCTCTGCCCCCCCACTGAGTCTGTCTACGTCTTACCTGTCGGATAGGATGGCGAACTCCCTGCAGCTTCGGTGACACCTGTCCGAGCGACACCTGGCAGACGGGCTGGCAGCAGCGCGCATGCTCTGTTGTCATGTGGGAAACCTCTTAAAACGCTCAGGATGTCACCGGTTGAGATCAAATCTGTAAACAGGACAGCACCCATCAGGTCTCCTCCTTCTACGCAGCAGCTGGATCCCCTTTAATTCACCTGTGCGCTCTGAACCCCAAAGATGCCCCGCTCCTTCCTGGTGAAGAGTAAGAAGGCGCACAGCTACCACCAACCACGGACCTTGGAGGATGATTACAGCAGGCTGGACAGCATTCTGGCGCACATCTGCTCAGGTATTATTTAGAAGAAAACTCGATCATTTGGATCCGATCTGATCAAACTGGACGGTGTGTTTTAATCCTGAACCAATGGGATGGATATTTACAGGCTTGGTTTTATTATTTTATGTGAGGTGGACGTAATTGTTTTACGATTTGTTGCGCAATTAAATGGCGCAAACAAATGTAATCTGAATACAAATTGAAATATTGTCTTTTTTTCTTTTTTTTTTGCTCAATAAGAAATTATTGAAAACGGACAAAAATGATAAAAGTTTAACATGAATAAAAACAATAAAGTTTCAATGAAAATGTTGGAATTGAATGAAAACAAGAAACATGATTTAATCCGATAATGATAACAGGTTCTATTTATTTATTTTATTTTTTAGTGTTTCTACTTTAAAACTAAAAAGATGTGAAGAGTTTTTATAAAATGGTTTTATAGAGAAAACCCCGTTAATTCCTCCGCGGTTCCACCTCAGATGCAGATAAGACGCCGGAGGAGGACGCAGACCTCCCGGCGGACAGGTACGGCCTCTCTCCGGCCTCCCATCAGGGGGATCCCGCTGACTTCTCCCCCAGATCTCCGCTGAGCAGCGCCGACAGTCTGTGCGCTCGTTCCCCGGACTATGAGGACTTCTGGCGGCCTCCGTCCCCATCCGCGTCCCCTGGTACTGACACAAACACAGAGAAAAAAAATCCTCATGATGTGTTTCATGTGTTTCCATCTCATCAAAACATTGTAATTAAGATCATTTCATTTTGAGGATATATTTTCTCCTTGGTATAAATTAAGGCACATTTCTCTGTATCAATCCACCATAAATAATATTTAATTTCTGATTATCAGATAATCTCGGTATGTCTGGGCCCCTTTAGGGCCCCTATCCCACTGATTTGATTCCTCTGTTCTCCTCCAGCTGACTCAGACAAATCGCTGTCTCCTCTGGATGAAACGCAGAGCTTCACTGTTCCTTTCCGGGCCTATGCTTGGAGCAGCTACTCTGGCCTGGAGCTGGAGCTCCACAGGCCCCTGACGCAGCGGAGCGTCCATCCGGGCCTGGAGGTGGACACAAGCTCCGCAGTCATGGCGCTTTACGCAGAGCGGAGCGGCCATCCGGCCGTGTTTGCAGAGCGCGCTCTGGCAGAGGAGCCTTACGGGGACTACAGGAGGATGCTGTTCCCTGAGGCGGGCCTGCACAGGAAGGCGCCCGATGGGAAGGCCTCGCCGGGCCTTCTCTGTCCGAACCTCATCCTGAACGGCGCTTACAAGTGTGTCAAGTGCGGTAAGGTAAGAGGCGCTCAAAGCGCAGTCAGAGCTGCACCTTTAAAGCATAAATCTCTCACATTTCTGCAGGATCATCTCCTTCAATGTCGCATTTTCCCATCTGATCAGGTGTTTTCCACCCCCCACGGTCTGGAGGTCCACGTCCGCAGGTCGCACAGCGGCACCAGGCCTTACGCATGCGACATCTGCGGCAAAACGTTTGGGCACGCAGTGAGTCTGGAGCAGCACAAAGCGGTGCACTCTCAGGTACCACTGTCAAAGGAACCACATCCTGCAGCGCATGTCCTCAAATAGCGACTTATTTTATTTATTTGTTATATTTTCAGGAAAGAAGCTTCGACTGCAAAATTTGCGGCAAAAGTTTTAAGCGCTCCTCCACGCTGTCCACGCATCTGCTCATCCACTCGGACACGCGGCCCTATCCGTGTCAGTACTGCGGGAAGAGGTTCCACCAAAAGTCCGACATGAAGAAGCACACCTTCATCCACACAGGTGAGCTGGGGCCCCCAGTAGGTTCACACACTCTGGGGGCCAACTAGTTAATCCCAGCAGGATCAGTGGCCCCCATCTTTATCAGAATAATTCTTTTTAACTCATCTATTTATTTGTTTGTTTTAATAAATGTATTTATTTATTTTTGCAGGTGAGAAACCACACAAATGCCAGGTTTGCGGGAAGGCGTTCAGCCAGAGCTCCAACCTGATCACGCACAGCAGGAAACACACCGGATATAAGCCGTTCGGCTGCGACCTGTGCGGGAAAGGCTTCCAGAGGAAGGTGGACCTGAGGAGACACAAGGAGACGCAGCATGGACTGAAATGAGACGGAGGACAACTGGACGCTGAAGGAGACACACCTGGACAATAACCGAGGAGAAGAAAAACATTTTTCTTCTTTTTTTTTCTTTTTGGATCAGGACACTAATTTGATCCATTTGAAATCTCATCGACGCATTTTATTATTTTTGGGATTATAATTATAATAATATCTATTATTTATGGCGGCAGTTAAAACAAAGACATAAAAAAACACTAATGGAAACATCCTTCTGCGCTTTTTTTTTCTTAATAAAGGCCAGAGATAAGCTTTGAACTACAGAGGACCAAAAAAAAAAAAAAATCGCAGATGTGTTCATATGGTAAATGATTTAAATAAATGTTAAACCGAAAATAAAACACCTGATAAAAATCTGCGCTTTCTGCTGAGAGGTGTTGTTTTCAGCGGGTAGAGATGAGGGTGAAACAAGCTTCCCACTCCTCCTCCAGCTTTGATATGATTTAACATTAAAGCTGCAGATTAGTTCAATCAAAGTGACCCGAAATTATTAAAATAAGCAATAATAATGATTTATAATCTCCATTTAAAATCAAACGTGCAATCTATTTTAACGCACCTGGGGGGGTTATATACTTAAGGTCGCACCATCTTGCTGCTGTGATTGTGATTGCCCAGAGGCTCCTGTTTGTTTTGACCACTGCAGCTGCATGTTTGCACCTTCAACAATCTGAGCAGATCTAACCGTTACCCAAATACCTTTTGCCCTCATTGTTTTTTTTTTCATTCTGGAGGGGGAGGGAGGGGGCTGTCCATAAAAAAAAAAAAAACACTGCGGATTTTATCTAGAAAAATTGAAAGATTCTACAACAAAACAAACAGATGAAGAGTCTGTTGGAGGTAAAACATCAAGTGTCAAGTGGTAACATCCTCCATGGCTGACTGCTTACCAATCCCAGAGGTTTAACGGTGCAAAGGTAACGTTGATCTTCGGGTTTTAATGGTTGAGCCGTTTTGGGATTGTTGTTTTGTGGAAAAAGAAAAGAAAAGTGTAGATTTAACCGCCTGACCCAGTTCAGGAATGGCAGCTTAAAGGAATAGTACACCCAAAACATGATTAGCCTTCATTTTCTACTCACCCCCATGCTGAACAACACTCTGGAGTACTTTTTTGATATCTCAAATGCATCTGGAGATCTGGGAGGCTTCTTGCTGTCTGCTGACATTCAAATAATGGAGGTCTATGGCGCCCGAGGCAGAAAGGTCCATAAAAGTCCACAAAAAACGTGTCAATATTCCTCCATACTGCTCGTCCAATGTATTCCAAGTGTCCTGAGTGGGTAGCGTCCATAATTTACTCGAAACGAAGTCATTTAGAATGTTTTTAGAGCATAAACAGTAGTGTATAGGATTTCCTAAAAGCGCGTTCAGGACGCTACGGAAACCGCGGCAGACCAAACCAGATGAAAGTGCGCATTCAGCTCGGCAAAGAACTCATGCTCTTCCTCAACACTGAAGTCCTCAGACATTTTTCTTTCGTTGTTTCTTTCTTTGCACAGGTAAACAGCACATTTCTTCTTCTACGCTTGCATTATCGGCAGAGCAGACGCTGAATGCGCACTTTCATCTGGTTTGGTCTGCCGCGGTTTCCGTAGACTCGTGAACGCGCAGGTGCGCGCTTTCAGGAAATCCTATACACTACTGTTTATGCTCTAAAAACATTCTAAATGACTTTGTTTCGAGTAAATTCTGGACGCTACCCACTCAGGACACTTGGAATACATTGGACGAGCAGTATGGAGGAATATTGACACGTTTTTTGTGGACTTTTATGGACCTTTCTGCCTCGGGCGCCATAGACCTCCATTATTTGAATGTCAGCAGACAGCAAGAAGCCTCCCAGATCTCCAGATGCATTTGAGATATCAAAAAAGTACTCCAGAGTGTTGTTCAGCATGGGGGTGAGTAGAAAATGAAGGCTAATCATGTTTTGGGTGTACTATTCCTTTAAGGTCACAGTGGACCAGAAAGGAAACACCTGCTGGAGGTGAAGGCTGAACAGTTTGGCCTCAAAGACCAGAACAACAGGAGTCCAGGTGAGGCTTCTCCTCCCACTGCTGCGCATGGTGGCGGCTGCATCATGCGAAGGGACTCTGGATCTATTCTGAGATTGAATTTAATCACAAAGAAAATTATTACATCTACTGCTTCATCTCCAATCAACAGAAAGGTTGGTTTGGTTTTTCAGAACCGTTTTTGATAGAAATCCAGGCTAAATATCTTTTCAGAATCACGTCAGCATCTCTGTCATGTTTCAGGGTTTTTAAAGCTGTTTTATGGAGAAAAAAATCTAATATAAGATCAGGTTGTTCATTTTGATAAAATCTGCATTTTTGTAGCCCGGAACTGCATGAAGACTGAAACAGAAAAGAGAGAGAGGGGCAGTGTCTTCCTTCCTCAACATTGATTGAAATCAGTGACTCACAAGGATTTCTTCTTTTAACGCTTCACTTCTTTCCCAAATCGTACCAGACCGAGGCCTGCGGAGAAAAAAAAAACACTGAATATTTTAAAGCCAGAGAACCGAAGGAGGAAGGAGGAGGAAGTCATCCTCATTTAGAGCAGGATTTACTGGAGCTTACTGCACACCGTGATCATATTTAAATCTAAAACTAATTTATAATTAGAGCCAAAAAAACAAACAAACAAACAAAAAGCATGGTGGACAGATTGGGTGATGCTCTGAGGGGGAACTTCTGGTGTTTTTAAGGCGCATTAAAGCAGCCGCTGAGCGCAGGTCTCCAAGCCACTGGCTGCCTTCAGCTGAGGACTCCTTTTATTTCTCTATTTAAATATTTGGACGAGTGTTTTTATTAGCAGAAATGTTCACTGTGAGGATGGAGATCCTCCCCCAGAGAAAAGCCTCTTTGAGGAGAACTGCTTAAAGAAGCCATTAGGCCGAGCAGACCCCCCCTCTGCAGCCTGAAGGCATATGAAATATGAATAACCGGTCTGGATCGATCAGAGA